CTATTTAATGATACATCAAAATATGTGTATAATGATGAACAAAATGCGAATGTGATGAGAGTTATTTTCAAGAGAGTGTGAGCCTGGTCATTTGGCTGACAAGATTATAGTTGGGTGACAATGGTTAGAGGGACCGTAGATCGTAGTCGATATGCGACGGTGGTTGGAGTTAGTTTGCTGGTGATAGTGGTTGGACAGACCTTAGTTGGCGGGCAACAGTCATCGTACGAACCATAGTCAGCAAATGATGGTTGTCGGAGGGACTGTGGTTGGTGAGCAATAATGGTCAAATGAACCGTAGTTGAGCAGGTGACGATATTCTGAGTGATCGTAGTCAGTAGGCAATGGTGGTTGAAGGGATAACGGTTGACAAGCAACGGATGTCAGAAGAGTCATAGTCGGCGGGAGAGGGAAGTTGCAGGGACTATAGTCAGCGGGCGAAGGGGGTTAGAAGGACCGTCATTGAGAGTTGACAGAGGTTGGAGGGGTGTATCGATGGCAGCCGAGCGGAGGAGGTCCAACGAATGGTATGTCGCAGGCGAAGGTCTGGCAGTGATCGGTGGCCTAGTGGAAGTCTGACAACGGTAAGCTATCAGGTGGTTATCTCACGATGGTCAGGCATAAGTCTAGTTGTGATCGGTGGCCAAGTGGATGTCAGGTGATGGTCGGTGGCTGGGTGGGGGTCTGACGATGGTTAAAAGAAATTCTGGCACCGGTTGACAGTCGAGTGGATGTCTGGCAATGGGCGACAACCAATTGGATGTCTAGCGACGCCCAGTGGTTGGGTGGTGGTTTGATAATTGTCAGGCAGTGTTTCGATAATGACCTGGAGGTGGTACAATGATGGTCGGATGGTTGTTCAGCGAAGGTTGGCGGTCGAGCGATGGTCTTCCAATGGTCGAAGGAGGTTCTTCGGCGGTGGTTCCTAGGTGGAGCTTTAGATCCATGAAGCCTTAGAGCTCTCTTCAATCTCCAACTAAAGGTCTAGGCTCCAAGCCCCCTTTCATGTGGGATATGGGGGTCTATTTATAGATTTTTAAGACTGGCATGCCCCATAAATATAAAGATAATCAATGACAAAATCGGAGTGTTCTATCGGATGGCTCATATTGATCTCCTTGATCATAGAACATTTGTTAAACATTTATGTTTCCAAATGATGTCAGAATTAAGTAGTGTTAGACTTGTTGGATTTGCCTCGTCAAACTGCTTGATTCAATGATAAGCATGCTATATTTGGATATCATTTGGTCATCCAATTTATACTTTAAAGCTTCCAAATAAGTTTTGTCCCTTGAATTGGACCCATTTGGGCTCGGATTGAACTAATTTTGGTGTTATTGGATTTGTCTCGTTGAGATGTTCAATTTGACTATATGTTTGTTGAAATTTGTGCTTAGATGATCGTAAATTTAATTTTGGAAGTTGTCAGCTCATATATGCTTTCGATTCGTGCCTAATCAAAATGATATTTTGGAGCCACATTAGTTTCCTTTCTATTTTCGGACGTCAAAGCTCAAGTCATCCGAAAATATATGTCTTTGTCTTGCAAACCAAAAGGTTGGAGTGTGCTCTCCAAGACACTTTAGTGTATATAAGACTCCCCTTAGAAGAAAAAAGACGAGTACCGATAACTTCACCAATTAGTGATGTCGAATTTGGTGCTCTAACTTCTTCCTGTAATCATGTAAGTTCATAGACCTTTGAACAAACTACTGAACATTTATCAGATAAATGGGAGATAGATCCTGCCATATCGATGCTCTGGCTGATTCTAAAGTTTTATTAACCTTTTTTCATCAATTATATGGAAAATAATCGTCAAACAAATCTGATTTATCCTCCAAAAATATTGCAACTTTGACATACAAAATAGTTATCATTTTAAACTTCAAAAGCTCTGAAATGCATCAAAAATGAGATTATAAAGATTATAAGTTTGATTTGGAAAAGGAGGCCAACAAAACAAAGAATTGTCTACTGCTAACATTATGGGTCATGATAATGAGTCCTTGTGCTTCAATAGTGATTTTTTCTTAACATATTCAAATCGATATTTTGGATGAGTTTGATTCCCCTAAGTATAAAACCTCATCACAATTAAGTTATTTTTTATTTGGCAACCACAAGCTCAAGCCTTCAACGTAACATCAAGCAAGTAAATAATAATAATAATAATAATAATAATAATAATAAAGTTTTATTGAATATTTTTCTTCTTTTGATGGCAAGCTTCCCTAACTTCTAATGAATTGGTGACATTAAAGTCCAAAGGACGTCACATGCAGAAAGGCATGGTTGTCTGCCACTTAGGGTGCGTTTGGGACGCTTTACGGCTGCTTTGTTTTATAAAAAATTATTAAGTACTCGTTTGGGGCATTGCGGTAGAACAAAGTTAGAAAATTTTCTGCGGCCTATCGCTGCTTCTTGCGACCTTTCATTGCGTCCCGCGGTCCGCTGCGGGTCGCTGCTTTCCACCGTTTCGAAGGGCATAAATGACGAAAAAGCCCAATCGCAATGTTTGCTATAGACCAACGTCGACCTTTACAAGCTCATCCATCTCGACTCACCTTCTCCGATGCGCGCCTTCTTCGTTGCGCGCCGATTTGCCAAAGATCCCTCCACTCATCGCTGCTTCTCCCGCATTCCTTCCTCCGACTCTGCCATCTTCTCTCCATTTCTCTCGATTAAGATTAGGATTCCTATTTAAATATGGGCTGCGATTCCCAGCATCAATCGCGGCTCTTAGATGAGTTGTGGGCCCTTCTCCTCACCTTTTGTTGCTCTCCCCACCTTTTTCTCTCCTCTTCGTTGTCGTCATCGCTGCAGCTCAGCGTCGGAACTGTTGCCTATCGCGGTCGCGCTGCTCGCAGATCTCACGGATTGGCTTCGCTTTGCTCGTCTTTAGTGCCTCATTCGCACTCCTCTGTGGATCCTCTGTGGATCTGTTGCCTCTGTGCTTGGCGGCATCCTGTTTCCATGGGATATCAAGGTAAAGTCTATTGCATTGGAATAAGGTTTATGCAGCCACAGGCTATGGTCACTTTATCATTGTTCTGAACTTTTATTCAATGCTCATCTTAAAGTTATATTAGTAAAATGGATAAATTATTACATGTGTGTACAAAGGATTCCATATTCCAGCGTTATTTTCATCTGTTGCAAATGTTGAAAACAAATTATAGTATTTATATGTATAAAGTAATAAAATAATTAGATTTTATATCAAAATTGTTAACATAAAGAGTTAAAAAAATTAAATTTGAACAAATTTTATTCATCTTCATATATGTAAGGGTAACAAGGTAATTTGTTGTCAACAGAAGCACAGCAGTTCGACAGTAGTACTACCCAAACAACATTGACTGATTTCTATACAACAACTTAAGAAAGCAGATTTATGTACAACAATTTTACAATATGCTTTACCGACAGCAACAGCCGTCCCAAACGCACCCTTAAACTACTCAATAACTCACTCGGCTCTTGCCTCATATGTAGTAAGATTTGAGAGTTCTACAACGGTCTTTGTGCGCAGGCAAATTGCGTTATGAACATCCTCTTGTACTCAATGAAAGAAGTGCTGATGTCAAGTGGATGAGAACCATCACAAAAACAATGTATATAAGATAGTAAAGAATAATATACACTTTAATGTGTCGATATCAAGAAGTGAAACAATTAACTCAAAAGTAGGTGAAATAAAAATCCGCATGATAGATTTTGAACTTGAGCAATTTCTCTCATCAAGCTCTTCACAAGCCATGATCTCCACTTCTAAATTATCCCTTCTTCTCGATAAAGAATTGAAGATGATTCCTCACTATCATGATAATATATTTCATCAACGATTATACTTGAGGTGTAGGCTCTATCTCTAAATAATCTCCTCCCCCTCACCATAGAATCAAAGGATAATTTAAGCAATTCATAGAGTTGTTTTCATTATCCTTCGAGTATTTCCTACATCATTCAAGTCATCCTTTCCTAGAATTCAACAAGCTAGTGAGCAATTATTAACACTAGATTATCCATGTTAATAGATTCTTCTCTTGGATTTTGTTTTATTTTACATAATATTCCTCTTCTTATTCTTCTAATTTCTAGCATTTTATATGCTTATCTTATATTTTAGTATGTTGAATTCAAAATTATCAAAGAATCACATCCAACCATACTTAAAATACTAAATAAAAAATAAAATAGAAAGAGAAAGAAAAATACTAGAATATGAAGTTATAATATTTTTATAAAAATAACTCAATTACAAACAATTGCATAAAAATCACATAAAATAAGCTCACCTCTCAACCCCAATCCCTATTTATAAATTTGAATTGAGATTTAAGCATTATAAAATTGGTTATATACATTACTACAAAAAAAAAAAAAAAAAAAATCAAAGAATCACATCCAACCATACTTAAAATACTAAATAAAAAATAAAATAGAAAGAGAAAGAAAAATACTAGATTATAAAGTTATAAGATTTTTATAAAAATAACTCAATTACAAATAATTGCATAAAAATCACATAAAATAAGCTCACCTCTTGACCCCAGTCCCACAAAATTGTAGAATAGCTAAGCTGTCAATCAATAGTTTACTGCAATGCCATTCATCCAAGTTATTAAAATCTAACAAAATTAAAAGCAAACTCCAAATTTAATAAAAAAAACCCAAACATTCTCCTATTAAAATATACTTTCTGATATTTTGCAGGACATTTCTTGTTTAACAATAAATCAATAAAAAATTATTAACAATTGATGTTTAGAAAACAAAAGAATTATCTTACAAAATATTTAAAACTATCAAACAATCTAAGAAAGCAATTTTTGCTAAGGTAAAATTTTTTAAGAGCAAATCCTGAACTAAAGCTTTTCGCCTACTAAAATATCCCGCAATTTTTAAGACAGACTTATACACACATCGCATACACAAGATCCAAATCCAAGACCTCTTAATTAGTAGCATAAGCTCTCAACTAACAAACCAAGTTGAACTATGCTCCGCAACGCATTCTTACTTGTTAAGCAATTATCAACCAAATATAGCAGTGTTTGTCACTATCCAGTTCTGGGGAAGAAATCTGAATGAACATATCAATGGCGGCCCTTTCTCTTTTCATTTCGTTACAATGACGTTCCAGATCAATTATGCGCCAACGGGCTTATTAAAAAAAAACAAAGATCTCCAGTTATAAACAGTTCTTAAGCCATTATTAACCTATATTTCATCACATCTCCATGACAAATTTGTTATAGGCCAGGGGGCTTGAACAAAGGAACTGGAAAGAAGCTCTCAACATCGATTGGCACTTGAAGTGCACTGCTTACAAGCTCTGGCATGGAGGTTGTTCCCTTCCAGGTGGAAAACCATGGCCCCCCACCAACTTCCACAGCTGCCATGTTGCTTGTCGCTTCAAGGATTAGCTGCAAGCAAAATTGTTCATCAACTTCAGCCACCATCATTAGATATATGCTTCGTTTAGGACGGCTTTTTTATTGCTTCTTAAAGTAGCTTTCTAATACAAAAATTTAAAATTTTGTACTAAAAAGTTGCTTTAAGAAGCAATGAAAAAGTCGTCCCAAATGAAGTCATAATGTGATGATTTTGTTAAGGACTAAAGATATTGGATATGGATCTCGAAAAGTTTTAAAATAAGCAATTTCTATGCTCAACTTCAGTTTCATTCGAGCATGGCATTGTCAGTGTCTTTATATAATGCATGGAAATAACTAATTGCCGAAAAAATTTCATCTAAAATGTCATAATACTAATTATGCTTAGCTAAGCCACCTCATCATTATTATTATCTAAACAGTTTGAGGTATGAGAAATGGATGTCTACTATTTTTTTGTACATTCTTTCACAACTTTTAACCGTATTATCTCATGTCTAACACTTTTTTTTCCTATTTCCTCCACATTTGGTCCATCCTCTTGTTGACCTCGATAAATTATTCCAGTGGATCAATTCAAGGAGAAATGATGAGTGAACAGAGTGATGTCCTATCAAACTTATTTGAAACGTTTCAACCAAAATTGCCCGAATGGCATCCATTTTCAAAGCAAATATTGTCGAGGCGTTCAAAACAACTGAAACAACTAGAATTGACACCTATATTGGTAAGACTTTTAAATCGGTAAAAATATTTAAAAAAATATAATGCACACGGAATGAGATCAAATATACGAGCGTTAGTAATAAAATTTAAATGATCAAGCTTAGATAGTTTTTAGACTAATATTTACTTATTATTATTATAAATTTTAAATCAAAATTTATATTTTAATAACAATAATCACATAAACCTAAATAACTACCCACTAATCCACCATCTCATTTAAACCATCCCCACTAATGTCACTAACTGGGGGGCCACCCTCACAAACTTTTCGATAGCTTCGATCGACGTGACAGATAGCAAGCCGCAACCTTCCAAGACCCAATCTCCCTCTCCCACTCGATACTGGCTCATGACTGATCCCTCTCGCAACTCTTATGTCGTTGTTGACAAAATTTTCGCGTCGACTCGACTCAGATTGAGTCGAATTGTACCCGATTGAGTTCAATTAAACCCTATCAACTCAATTAAGCATCGTCATACCCAAATCAACTCGAATCGGCTTTGATTCGAGATTAATTTCATAAATTTAACTTGATCAAATTAAATCAAACTCAAATCAGTTCAAATTGAGCTTTATTTGAGCTAAATTCAAGTCCGTTTAGTTTAATTTAAACCCAATTGACTTTCCAAACCAAACAAATTCAATCTAACAGCTCCGATTCTCTTGAATTATGCTCCCTGCGTGCACTGCATTTCTATCAAATCCCACAACATGCAATCAAGAGGGATAGAATCCTCCCTATACGAAAAAAAGACTTAACCTTCTCTGTCATTCTGCTTCATGGGTTTATGGGGACATCGGAGCTTGGAAAGTCGACGTGGCCGTCGATCTACGGCCACGATCGAGTCGATGTATTTTTTAGTCATATTATTTATTTGGTTTTTATTATTTTATATTTGTAGTTGCTTTTGTTATTTTTCACTTTTACCCTTTATTAAAAGGGCGTCATGTGTAAGCCCAAAGGGCATTGTTGTGTTTTACTTTTTGAGTCCTTTGTACGAAGCTATTTATAGCCCTTAGGTTTCTCTTCTCATATTTAATGATTGAATGATAAAAAATTTTCCATTGCTTGAGTTCTTTGTGAGATCTTGAGAGTGTTTGAAGAGAGAAATCCTTAGAAGAAGGAAATCAGATCACCCACCAACCTTGGAGACGGTCAGAATCGTCGTTCGTTCTATTATTTCATCGTTTCCTCTTTTCCCCACCCTACACCACCGACCCACCACCCCTCTCTCACCACCCAAGCCGTAGGCCATATTAGCCCCACTCTCACCTTCGGCTAATTTTCCCATCTCCACCCCACTGATCCCTCCTTCCTTGCCCCCAACACCATTCACAGTCACCACACGTGCCCATTAAGCCGCCAGCCCCCTCATTATTTCCCATGGATTTATTTCCTAAAGCTCATCTCCCCCTTTGGAATTAATTCAAACCTTCATACCCCCTCTTTGGCCGAAATTTCCAAAAGCCCCCACCTCCTTATTACTTTCAAAAAATCTAATATTAAGTTTTGGAAACAAATCCCTAAAACCCTCTCTCTTGCCACTGCCCCTTCACTCCCTTTCTCTTCTTTAATTATTCCCAATCATAGGTATTAATTAGAAGATTGTTTGAAACTCTTTCCCTCCACCAAAATCTCAACCAAATTAAATTCCCCTCCCTCCTTCCTTGGCCGGCCATCTCCTCCTCTCCACTTCAATTTTGAGAGAAACTTCTTTCTCTCTAGTGGAGCTTCAAGGGATCGACATTGATCTTCGGCTACACATCATCCTTCCGAAGCCAATGAATGGCCAATCCGGAGCTTGACTACGGATTTGCTTACGACGAGCAAGGATACATTAACATCCTCCACTCCACCTTCTTTGACTTCAACCAGGAAGTCGATCGTTCCATCGAAGAGTACGTGGACTGTATTATTTACATGCTATCGGAGGCCATTGACGAGCAACTTACCGGCGCCCAGTGCAAATCGTCTCTGGACCTTCCCAAGGGTGAATTTCTTCCCCTTTTCATTTACTGTCCTAATCCACTAATCTTGTAGGTGGTGACAAGTCACAAGGTACCGTGCCTCGCTTTCTGCTTAAGCTTAGTAAATGTAAGATTGAATGTACTTTCTATGTTGCTATCTTAATGTTAGAATAGAGATTTTTATTGAAAGCTATTTAATTCGCATGTTGTTGAAATTCTAAGTTGTTTTGATAATCCAAATGTTTGACATGTGACTTGGCCTAAGCTTAGCCATCCCTCTTACGTTTTATATTGTTGTCTTGATTGCTAATAGTTTTAATCATAATTGTTTTATCAAGAAATCGTGCAAGTTTTTATCGCATGCATTTAAAAGCATTGTAGTCCTGCATTAGTTTCGTTCTACTTCTTACTTGCGTCCAAACCAAGAGAACGAGGGAGAAGAGCAAAGAGCTTTCGCATGTGGTTCTTCCTATGTGCCTGAGCGAAACCAAGAGAAAGGCTAAGAGAGATCGATCAAGAACGCACTTGGTTGCGTGCATCTGAGGTGGGATCAAGCGGGTGAGAGTTTTTTCTCTCAGCTGTGCGTGCGACCTGGAAAGAAAAGTTTAGCGGGGGTCCTTAATTGAGAGTCCGAAGCCTCTCACTCGTGCATCTGGGCTAAACCGACCGAGGAACCAGTGGCTATGGCTGCTTCTATGCGTGTACTGGAGCCAGATCGAGCAAGGACCAAGCGACTAGGGAAGCTTTCCTGTCGTGTGCAACCTCCAGGGATTGAGGGGCTGTCTTCTTCTTCCCTCAACTGAGAGATAGGAGCTTCTTCCCTTGCTGTCATTCTCCAAAAACTAAGAGTAAGAAAGAAGCTACTGTAACTTGCCTCCTGTACAGCCAAGTGATAGTGGAGAGCTTCTTCCTCTCTACATACCAACTCTCCAGCAAGTTGATAGCAGCGAGATTGTCATTCAGAGCGTCTTGGACAGCAAGCTCGTTTTTCATTATTCCTCTATCTCGTATTTTCAAGGCAAGAGCATATTGATCAGCGTCGGACACTTTACTTCGACGAGGTAAAAATCTCAAAAACTTGGGGTTCCTCAGCCCTGTGATGTGGTTGATGCTTACAAATCTTTAGGAACCTAAAAAACCCCACATTTTAATTTCTTAAACCTAAGAAAAATCCTATGCTTGTAGTCCTAGCAAAACAGTGGAAATACAATGATTTCCATCCATGTGCTCTAATGTGAGAGCTTGAGGGGATGTCAATGCCCGTAGGGTTGTCGGTAGGGGTGTCAATTTCGGGTCACGGGTTTCAAACGGGTCGACCCTAACCCGACCCGGTTAGGTAAACGGGTCGGAAATGCGAACCCGGACCCGACCCGACGGGTTGCCGGGTTGACCCGACCCGACCCGGGACGACCCGCGAGTGCGGCGAGGTCGCACGAGGGCGCGGTGAATATCTAACCCGAACCCGACCCGGTTCGGGTTGACCCAAACCCGAAATTTTCGGGTCGAGTTCGGGTCGGGTTTTCGGGTCGGGTCAAATGTTGACAGCTCTAGTTGTCGGATTAGTGTTTGAAAACTTCCAAATGTATGAAAATATCATTCATGTTGTGTAAAATCTGTCACCTATGATAAAACATAGGTTCCATAGTGCTAGACTCAAATTTGATTGCCATTCACTTGAATCAAATTGCATGATGTTAAGGTTTGAATTGACTTGCACTAATTCAAAGGAGATGCATGTCGTAGGCCTCTTGCTAGGTTTATCACCATCCAAATTTGCAAGATTCAAGAATATGTTCATCTAACTCCGGTATTTATGAGACTAGTTTATGGTATTCTCTAGGTCCTCAAAGGCCCATGAGGCATACCACATCTTGCTTTGGATTTATTTGAACCTATTCATGAGATTTTCAAATCTATTTATGTGAATGTGCATTTGATGAGGCTTACAAATCTTTTCATGAATTTTTTAAATGCTTAAAGGTAAATTTAGTAGTTTAAAAAGTCCCAAACTATCATGAGACTCCTCATTGACCTCCTAAGATCTATGTTATGACTCCCACAAAGGACATCAGTGATGAAGTTCATCTCCAACACTTTGCAAAGTTGAAAAGAATGATTTGAATGATCTAAATTGCTAGAATTCCTAAAATGCAAATCACATTCACACATCCTTAACTTCTCTTAAATCATGCCAAAATTGACTAGAAATATTCTTAAGGCTTTAGATGTGTTTTTCATATTCTAACATGATCAAAACAATGTGCCATAGGTCTCTTGTTAGGATCACAAAATCTCCAAAATTTTTAAGTTCCTAAATATGCTCATCTTAAGTGCTTATAAAACTAATTTGTTATTTCATGAACCACCCAAAGGCCCATAGCAAATACCCCATCACACTTAGAAATTAGATAAGCTTATTTGTTCAACTTGCGAATTAAAATGGCTAAGTGTAATAACAAACGACCTAAACAGTTGAGGAAAACCCTAAAAGATGACAACTTCTATGTGTTTTCAATGAACTACTTCATGATAAAATTGCTTTAGAAATCACTCCAAAGCCACATGCAATCACTCCTATTTAAAAATAAGTCCAAAACACTAATTAAAATAGGGAGCTCTCTTTCAAGTGTTGTTTTTCCTCATTTGTAACATTATGGAGCCTCCCTAAGGCTCAAATCTTCTATTACATATATCATTGGACTTTAAGACCAAATCTTACATTCTTGTAACCTAATTGTTGAATCTAAAATCAATAATTGATCTCTTAGACTAAGGACCCAAATCCTAGTCTTTCTCATTTGCATCGATTCAAATTACGCAAATGAATATTTCTATTTGAACACCAAAAGTTCAAAGAACCTTCACTAATTTGCAACTCCTAAGTTGCACATTCCCCTCCTATCTTCTATCAACCTTAAAGTTATGAAAATCCCCCATTTTTCATAGCCTTAAAGCCATAAGAAATTCTTCAATTTCTTTGCTTAGCGTTTTTCTTAAACTCATATATAAGTTCTCAAATGACTTTTTGAGAGTTTAGCAAAGCATTAGCTAGCCTTAGGGATAAACCTAAGCTTAATCAATTCACTTGTTGAGCCCAAAATCAATTGGTGGTTGCTATTGCGTTAAACTTAAGATCTAAAATCCTAGCTTCTTTATTTTGCTTAGCCCAAATTAAGCAAATGCCAAGCTTCTTTGAACCAAAAAAAAAACAAAAAAAGAAATATTTTTTATTTGTAGCCACAAAACTATAAATCTTCCCTCTTTTCTATGGACACCAAAAAAGTTCTAAAAATCTCCAAGTTATTAGCCTCATGGCTATGAGTTTTATTTGTTTATCTTTAGCTCTAAATTTAAAGAGAACTCTCCAACCTTTAGTACAAAAACTATAGATTAAACTTCTTCCATCTCTTCCTAAGCTTCAAAAGCCATAGAAACTTATTCTAACCATAGTTCAAAAACTAAGTGTTAGCTCATTTCTTATTCAACCTTTACCCTCAAAGCTATAAGTTCTATTCTATTCTCTTTAGTTCCAAAGCTAAAAGGAATTTCAAAAAATCATAAGTTAAACCATTAGCCATGTTTACAATATTCTATTAGATGAACATTTCTCTTTTATACAAGCACTAAGAGAACTTTAAAAAAACACCTAAAAATCACTTGGTTCCTTCTGATATAAGAGTAAATCATTCCACCCTAAAATATGAAATGCCTACATCATTAAATCTTAAGGTTTCATAAGTAATAGGCTTGACTCAAAGCAAGCAGTGGTTGTTTTATGAGTTCTTCATAATCCTTCTAAATATAAAATAATTAAAAATTAAATAAAAATTTTAAGTCACAAACTTAAAGCAAAATCACCCTTAGACTAAAATTGAATATCCTCTATTTTTGAATAAAACGAAACACCACTAGTAGTGTGACATACCACAATGCCAGCACATACACATAGGTTCATAGCCCCTAGTTATGTTATGATTAAGATTTTTTTATGCATGTTTTTGTTGTGTTTGGTGTGATAAACATCGAATTGTTTACATTGTTGGCACTTTCTGCAGGTGGTCATGTCCAAGAGAGTGTAAATAAATCATCATTATAAAGCAAATGCTTGCTTACAAGTGTTGTTTAAAACCCCTCATAAGAGGCATGGCCAATATGATAGAAAACAGAGCTTGACACTTCAAGTGCCAGACAATTTTGTGATGTTTCTTTGCCTTATATATTAAATTGCTTTCTAATCACCCAATTTTATAGGTTTGAGTTTTTTATATTTTTAAATGTAATTGATAGTACAAAATGCATTGTGCAAATGTGTATGTACATTATTAGTTAATGTGTCATTGAAAAATATTCCACATGTGCTCTAATCTTTATGTCAAACTCTAAACATGAGATTTGAGAATGCATCGCATATTTGTTAAAAGTGTTTAAACACTTTAATGATAGGCATGTTGATAGGAAATTTTAATCGGAGGGAGCTATTTAATTTTTAAAATGCCCTTAAAATTTTAAAATCATTCATTCAAAACCTAAATTCAGATCAAACTAAAAGTTTAAATTCTTAAAATTAAATTCATCACAAAAAATTAAAATTAAAATCCATCCACACTTCATAATAGTTTGTTAAAAAGGATAAATTTGAGTATAACTTTAGCTCACCAAAAGCGAATTTCATGTTGTGTATTTCTAAGATCCATTCTCAAATCATCTCTTACCAGTAAGGACATGGCACGTGTCCTCTAATATGTGATTTTGCTACCAAATGACACCACATATAAACCATTATAATTGGGGCCCTCTGACCAGGTGGTATTGCCGCCAAATGACTATGGTCACGATCAGAATCTGTATGTTTCCCAAGTACTCTAAACCCTTGAGGAATGAATTATATGGTATACTCGATAAGGCACAATAAACTTTGTTAGCTAAGATGGACTCAAACCTATCCCATTAGGCAAACATTTATCCCAAGTCTATAAGGTACCCTTGAATGATGCAACTCATGGCAGCCGACAAGTATCCTTCAGTCATGTTAGGCTAACTACCCCCTCTAACTAAGAAGACTAGAAACAATGATAGCCCGGAACGACAAAACCATCAAATTTTGATTGGGTCGATCATCATTCCCTCATCAACCGGTTTGTGTACGCTGATAAATTTTAAATCTTAAAAATATCCTAAAAATCTAATTTCCAAATCATAAAAGTTGTTGCTATTATCTGCTGGACACTTAGTGTCTATCTAATAACTAGCGTTAATCGAAAGTTCTTTCGCTTCATCAGCAGGGATAATTAATCATAGGAGTTTGCACCAATAAGACGGATCCCAGATCATAAAGTCCTCACAAAAATGAGGTCGAAACCTAGTATCTTATCTAAAATCCAATCTGTCATCTAAAAATTTACCTTAAAACCTAAACTCATTAAAATTTTCCTTTTCAACAAAAAAAAAAATGTATAGAGAGGCCATGGCATGAATTTTTTAAGCCCACACTACTCATATCTAACTTCGACATTCTCATTCATGTGAAACCTGACTAGACTATGAATAGCTTTTGTTTCCCAAAGCTTTCATCATTAAACTTGTTATTTTAATCAGTTGCCAATTTATAACACAATATCACAACAAAAGATATTGAAGTCAACTCTAGCTGCCGTTGTTTTTTTTTTTTTTTTTTTTTTTTTTTTTTTTTTTTTTTTTTTTGCAGTACAAGTTTAAGCGGGTCTATTTTTGTGCTCTTTTCTACTTCCATGAAAAGAACAAGTATATGATAAGGCATCAGCCCCAACTTATTAGCTTTGAACATCTTCGTGATCACTTAAATTTTTTTCATTTCTTATATTTTATTTAAGAAAACATATTTATTTAGAATTTTTTAAATTATTTTCTTTTTTATTTTCTAAAATAAATCAATTCACTTTTAAAAAGACACAAAATCATTTTTTGGTGTTTTGAGTGTTTTTAAAAGCAACTATCATTACCACCATTGATGTTGGCCACTGCCAGCCTTCACCACAGGCAACAAACATGGTTGTCATCACCTCATCCACTGCCATACTAGTGATTGCCGCCACCACCATTTAAATAAGCAAAAACATGTTTTTAATAAATCAAATATGTTTTATTTGATGTCAGAATATAAACAAAACAAAATTAAAAATTAAAAAGAAAAAAACTAAAAGCAATCCCAAATCCCCCTTAAGGCTTTAGCTTGATAATTGCTAATGCTTAATACAAAACTTTGAGAGTAAATCTAGGCCATCAGACAAGTTTTTTACTCTAGTATAACAGATTAGCCTGCCACCGTCTCCAGTTATATTAGGCTTCCATCCCAAAGTTGTCAGGTTATAAAACCCTAAAAAAAGAGTTAAAATGTAAAAAATGAGGATTCATGTACCTTTCCCTTTTTGCCATCAGATGTTTTTTCCCACAACTGCAACGTCAGATCACCATAGCAAGTATCTTTACATGCTGTCACTAGTCCAGCTTCTTGCGTTGGAGCTCTCAGGGGAGTGCCAGGTTCTTCAACTGTTGCTACTAATTCTACCTGTTCAATTTGTCCACAAGAATTGCAATTATTGCAGGGGCATAAATAGCTAGAATAATATATGATGAATTTCAGAACCAGTGCATATTTCAAGATACAGTAAATGTTAAAGAATTCAATGGACATTCTGAATAATCAAAACTATCAACTGCACTACATTTTGATGTTGCAGGTAAAGAGACCACCATATTTTGATTGTTCTCTGCAGAGATATGCCAGTAACCCCATTGACTGATCTCCCAGCTCACAGAACCATTCCAGGGCACAAATTCATAGAATTTTCCTCCATAATGAACCCCAACCTAGAAAAAACAGAACGCACAATTAGATTTATTCTGGTCTTCATGAGTGCCTTGCATATTGTTTAGGAAAACAATAAATAAAGAAAAACATGCTGACGCTAACATTGTTCAAGCCTAGAGAGTCGTCAAATTGTCTTAAAGAGATTATCATACTAACCATCAAATCCTGCAAGTTAAAGTTGTCCTTAAAAAAACATAGTTGGACCGGACTTTTCTAGAGCCTCTATTCTTGGTTTCATTTGAACATTTCACACTAACTCCTTCCCTCCGGTCAGTAGTCAAATCAATTTTCAATTTCTCATTTAGAAATCCTTAGGGCTTAGCCGGTTCAGAATCCTACTCCATTATCAAATCAAAGTGGCTTCCTATAAAATTGTAAGAAGTTGTGAAGGTGCTAAAAAGGAAAAAAAAAAAAGAACTCCAGAAAAAAAAAAAAAAAAAGAAAAAAATAAAAATATAAATAGCATACCAAGGCCGCATTTTCATAATTATCAGCCAATCCAGCTAGTTTCCTCAATCCACCAGCAGCTGTCAAAGCAACTTCACCTGAAGCCCCCTTAAATACATTACACTGGACCTGCAATAGTCGGAAGATTTGATTATACAACATTAAGTAGCTTTTGTTTTTTTTAATCATCGATTGTATTCTACTTAAATTATGACGAAACAAATCACAAAACAGTGGAATCTTAAATCACAAAGGCCAAAATATTAAATATTAAAATCTCCTAAAATAAATAAGAAAATCAGATTATTGCTTAGTTCACTCATTTGACATTTTTTTTAAGCTTAAAACCCTTAATGTTCCCACTACTATTAACGTTGGTTTTTAGGATACCTATTCTCACCTAACACCTCAAGGGTTTAAGGTTCAGATACACAACAAGGAAAGCTTCCAGCTTGTCTGTTCTAATGACAGTCTCGTCATCTAGTAAATGAGTTAGCTTCTGCCATAGCAAATGCAAGTGAAACATGGTCTTTAATTCAACAAATTAAAATTTGAAATAGTTTGGATATTTCAAAATATTCGGTATTTTGAAGTTGTTTATTATACATGCATGACTCCTCTCTCCATAATCTTATGATTGAGAGTTGGCTTGTGCATGCTCTGATTTATAATAGTTCCCAGGAAAATTGGTTTCTGACTATGAACTGGTTTTTATCCTGAAAATATATGCATTGTGGCCACATTTAACGTGATCATGATCAAAGCCTTAAGCCCAAGCAAGAAATGGATATGGATGAATAGAAAAAGTTAACGATGGAGAAATCACAATGAAGCAATGGAGCTTTATTTAGATGGCGTACATATTGTGCAGCTTAAATTATTGCAATGCAATGTGATTGGAACAGATGGTGCAAGGGAACAATATCACCCAAAGAGCTTTACCTCATTTATCACCAAAACAAAAGTGCTTTGTTCTTCTAATTAGTATCTTAATAATAATAATATAAAAAAGGTGGTAATAATGAAATGAACAATAGCATCAAAATCCAATTACTTTCATGAGCAGCTTGATTCCATCAAATTATCTGACAAGCATGATGAAACAGATAACATCACAAGAAATAATTAACATATGCCAGCAATTATAACCTATAACACCAAACATTGGCTGCAGGTTGATAGCACTTTGGAGCACGCTAATGACTTCAATAGACAATGATGTACGTTCTTCAATACTAGTGAAGCTCTTTCTCTATCTTTCCCTTTGACCAGTGATTATTTTTCCAAAAGGAAAGAGGTCTTTTCCTTTCTTGACTACCATGAAGGTTTTCTGACGGTAGGAGAAGAAACTTACCCAAAACCATTTTCTTGGAAAGCCTCCACCCCAATTTTTTTCTGAGTAGGATGGTGCATTTTCAAATTCAAACCGTTCTCCATCCCATTCAATCCAACCTGGGTAATGCAATGGAATCTTTGGATAGACTAAAATATACAATGATCTTACTTCATTAAAGAATCTAAGACGTTCGACAAAAAGATAACAAAATACTTCAAAAAGGTTCCATGTTCAAGAAAGTAGCAGAGGAGCATCAAGTAGATCATAAGAGATGAAACAGCAGGGGGAAAAAAATTCCGTTACTATGCGCTTCATAAATCAACAGGAAACATAGTATAGCATGCGTGACCCACAAATCTAAGGAACTAAGGAAGGCAAGTTAATCAGCCACCAGATAAAACAATAAATGAGGTCAAATACTGGAAAACTAGAAAAAGTAGTACAAAAACTGAAATTAATTTTAGAATGCATATAAAAAGACACATAACATGTAAAGGTAGGATGCACATAAAAAGCTCAGATTTGTAGGCAAGAGAGGAATACAACCTAATCTACCAAATAAAACATTCTTCTAGCAAAAAGATTAATCCTTCCTTGGGTTTGATGGGAAATAGGCTTTACAAGTTCTCAAAGAAACTTACAGAAATTGAGACATTCAGATTAGGCGGGAAACCTAGGTTTAGATCCTATTACACAAAAGGAGTAAATTGCATAACTAGAGTAGATTAGGTTTTACTAAAAACGCAAGAACTTGATGATGGCCATTCTTGATAGTACTCCTCTTGCTTTGACTCTTCCATCCTATGGGTTCTAGTTATTGTTACCCGACTATTATATTTGAGTAGTTCCTGGTTAGAATAATTTTTTAGAACAAAGATTGGATATTGTTAGATTCAGAGATTTGGAAAGGGAAAAGCTTAATATTATTGCACAAATATATCATTATTTATAGATCTATATAATATATCTTAAAGAGAAGCAAATAATTACATAATCATTCATAATTTCTCTAATATAATCCTTCCTAAATCAACACCGTAAGCATGAAAGGAGATTGGCGTGATCTAAGTGAGTCTTCCATAGATCCTCATCCTAGCCGTGGGATCAAAATGCCAAGGGACGACTGAGATTTTAACACTCCCCCTCAAGCCAGGGAATATAGATTTTCCGAGCTTGGTAATCAGTCCAAAAAAAAATAGAGTTATCAAGTCCTTTGGTAAGAATATCTGCAAGCTGATCTTTTGATGAGACATAGTAAATACATATAATACTGCTATCTAATTTCTTCTTTATGAAATGTATGTCTACTTCTATGTGTTTGGTCATGCCATATTGAACTGGATTGTGAGCTATGCTGATTGCCGATTTGTTGTCACAGTTTATCTTTATGGGCCTTTCCCACTTGATTCTCAAATCTTTTAGAATCATCTTGATCCATAATAGCTCACATATTCACAAGGCCATAGCTCTGTATTATGTTTTTGCACTAAATCTCTTCACCATATTATGTTTCTTACTTTTCTATGTAACAAAGGCTCCTCCGAGGAAAGTACAGTATCCTAAGGTAAATCGTCTATATACTGGTAATGCTATGCAATATGCATCAGTATATGCCTATAGGGTTATTACATGGTCTCTTAAAAAGAGAATACCTTTATCTTGGTTCCCCTTAAGTTAGTGCAATATTCTGTCTAAAGCTTACATATGAGTCTACTTTGGATTTTGCATGAACTGGCTAATCATGCTTATAGAAAATGTTATATCTGGTATGGTGTGAGAAAGGTAGATCAATTTTCCCACACTGCTTTGGTAAGCTCTCTCATCTACATTTGGATTTTCTTTAACTTCTCCCAATTTGAGATTTGGTTCTATTGGTGTTGGTATCGGTTTACAATCTAGCTTACATGTTTCTTTGAGAAGATCATTAATGTATTTTTTAAGGGTGTCAAAAATGGGTCAACGAGTCGAGTTCGAGTCCAACACAAATTGACTCGGGTCCAAACAGATTGACCCTAATTCGACCCAATTTTATAAATGGATCAGGAATTCCAATCCGGACCCAACCCACTGGTTTACTGGTTTGACCCGACTCGACCAGCTAACTCGGAATACCGAAACGAGATTGGGCACGGTCCGCACAAACAATAGCGCAAGTGGGTTTGGGTGTTGTGCGGATGCGACGGCAAGCAGGTGTGGTCCTGACATGGGAGCGGGCTAGGTTGGATTTGCGGGAGCGAGCGTGGGACTCAGTCCGGGCAATCAGGCATCAGATGCAAGTGCAGGAGGGAGAGCAGGTCCTGCGCGCTCGAGAGCGCAGGAGCTTTGTGGCCAATCGTAAGTGTGTGTCGGCTGCAGGAGGTCGCGAGGGCAGCACATCTCTAGATTTTGGGTCAATTCAATTCATCCTCGGGTTTCCGGGTCAACCTGAACCCGACACGATTATAAAAATGGTTCAGAATCCCGAACACGAACCATACCTATATGGCAAACGGGTTGACCCAAACCCGAAATTTTACTGGACGGGTCTGGGTCGAATTTCGAGGCGGGTCAAATTTTGACAACCCTAGTATTTTCATTGTGAATGAAGATTCCTTTGCTAGAGTGGGCTACTTTAATTCCAATGATATATTTTAATCTACCAAGATCTTTGATCTCAAATTCCTTAGCAAAACATTTCCTTGGAATCACTTTCTCTTTTTCATCATTCCCAGTCAAGATGATATCATCCATATAAATTATAAAATTGTGACTTCCCCCGAGTCTGAGTGCTTGAAGAATAATGTATGCTCCTCTTAGCTCTACCGAAAACCATTAAGTAGCATGACTATTGAAAATCTTTCAAAACAAGCTCTAGATGACTGTTTTAGCCTATATAGAGCCTTTTTTAACCTACACATTATCACCCTCATATTTATCCTTGAATCATGGTGGAATTTCTATAAATATTTCTTCCTCTAAATTCCTGTGTAGGAATGCATTTCTGACATCCAGTTGTTCTAGATGCTTGCTATAATTAGCTACTAGTGAGAGCAGGAAATTCATAGTGTTCATCTTGGAAACTGATGCAAAAATTTCCTGGTAGTTAATAAAGTATGTCTGAGTGTACACTTTCGCCACCAGTCTTGCCTTATACCTTTCTAGCGTACCATCAACTTTGTATTTCACAAAGAACACCCATTTGCAGCTGACTAATTTTTTTCCTACGAATAGGTCGGTGATCTTCCACGTATTATTCTTTTCCAAGGTCTATATTTCATTTCATGGCACTTTTTCAATTTTCATTAGATATGGCCTCAGAAATATCATTAGAAATATGAATATCATTTAATGTATCCAAAAAAATTTTGTATGAAGGTTGAAGTTATGGAAGGATATAAAGTTGGTTATGGGGTATAAGAGATTTTTTTTTTGTGAATTGTGTTTACTTCAATTTCAGGAGACGGTTTCGATTATTGAATCTCCTTTGGAGCATAGTTTGGATATGTATGCATGGAATACACTTTACTAAAATTAATGTTATCCATAATAGCTTTGTTTATGTTTCCTAGCTTTAATTTTAGGCTTAGATGGATTGATTTAAGATGGAGCTGCAAGGGCAAGAGAGGCAAGCTCATTTTCCTCGGTTTCAATTCCCCGCAGAAGATGAGGTTTGGTAAAATAGGATTTTTGTTCATCAAAATTGACATCAACAGATGCAAAGATTTTCTTGGTGTAGGGATGATAATACTTATAACCTTTCTGGATGGTTGAATATCCAAGAAAGATACATTTGAGTGCTCTTGAATCTACTTTTCCTCTATGTTGGTTGTAAATGTGAACATAGGCAACACAACCAAAGATTCTGAGTGTAAGGTTATTATGAGATTGAAATTTGGAGTAAAAAAAGAATAGAATATCCATTGCTATTTTGAGTCACAAGATTTTTGAAGGTAAACGGGTAGAGCTTAGAAGGTGACTATTTTTTTCTTTCTGTGATCCCGTTTTGTTATGAGGTGTAAATGCAGAAAGACTCATGAATGATACTTTTTTTTCAAGTATGAGAATAGGGTTTGGATAAAGTAATCTTTAGCATTGTCGAAGCAAAATTTCTATATTTTTACCCCAAATTGATTTTGGATCATTGTGTGAAAAATGGGGAGGATAATGCTAACATCAAATTTATTTTTAGGAGAATGATCCAAGAGACTTGAGTTTAGTTATCAATGAATGATACAAACCATCGAGCCCTTGAGATGTTAGAGATTTTTAGGGTACCCAGATATCACTATGAATAACGTAGAACGGAGTATCACATCTCTCATGTTTGTTTAGAAAAGAAACTCATTTATGTTTGGTTAACTCATAGGTTTCACAACGAAAAGATTCATTTTCTAACTTATAAAAAAATTTTGTGTGCATATTTTTCAAGACATTAAAAGATGGATGTCCTAATCTAAAATGATGAAGCCAAATAAAAATAACATAGAATAGCCATTATTGATAATATTAGATTTGTTAAGCTCTTCTAGGTAGTACAGTCCATCTCCCTCCTTAGAATGTCTAATCTTCTTCCCCGATCCCGGGTCCTGAAATAAGCAATAAGTAGGGTTAAATAAGAGTTGACAATTATGGTCACCAGTAAATTTTTGTATGGAGATTACGTTAGTGGATAATTTGATACATGGAGCACATATTTTAGAGTGAGAGAGGGAGATAAGGGTATGTCTCCTTAGCCTGCTACTGTGGTAAAAGAACCATTAGCAGTGATGAATTTTTTATCACATGAGCAAGGAGTATTATTGACGAAGTGGGTGGTGGTGGAGTATATCATGTGATATGTGGCTCCTACGTCAATGATCTATAAACCTTTCAAATGATTTCTAGAGGCATTTAATCTGATGGATATAGGAAACTTACCTAAAAGTGCAAAAGAAGAAGATGCATATAGTTTTTCAAGTGATATCAGGAGTTGCTTTAGCTTATCAATATCTTGTTTATTGAACTCTCTTAAGTTGAACTGTGTTACTGGGGTGGGCTAACTTGTTGTAGTGTTATATTGTGATGTATTCTTTTGTCCATTCTTTGGTTCCACTCTTTACTGGGAGCTTTTCATGCATCTTTCAGCTTGCCTCCTTTG